GGGGGGGGGGGGGGGGGGGGGGGGGGGGGGGGGGGGAGGAGGGCGGAGCGAAAGGGGAAAGAGCTGCGCGATCTTTACGACATGCAATATGACCGATAGGGACAACTTGAATGTGAAGAGGGTGGGGAACATTGGGCAACGAACAGCAGGAGAGAAACGGGAAAGGAGGGGAGAGTCGAGGAGCTCCATCCATCCATTCTCTTCAAAACTGACCATTGAATTTGCACAAGGAATGAGATTTCCAGCAGGCAATCCCAGAATCTTTTTCCTCTTCCCCACTCCTCCCTATCCCCCATCCCAATCCCCCCAAACCCCACCCACGCTGACTTCATCAGACAGCTCTACCTCCCTCCCGTCTCCCATATCTGCTCATCTCCGACCAAACAATCGATCAATCCCAACCTTTACCATTCACTGTCGACCATGCGTCTCTCTCTCTCCAATTCGTCGTCCTCTTGTCAATTCCAAAATGGCACTCCATCCCCCCGTCTACCCGGGTATCTCCTCCCTCCATCCCCTCCGTTTATTCAAGTAACTCTCCGTTTACAGAATAGAATCCCCCCCGCTCGCTGCTCTTTGCCCTCCCTCCCGACGAGCTGATCAATTACCCCAGCCGACTCTTATCGTTATCAAATTGCTTCCAATCATCTTCTTTGCCACCCGCGCCATCCGTCAACCGGGGCATACACGGCTATCCGCGTCAGAGCCGCCCCATCCGGCGCCACTACACGACAACACTTCCTTTGCAGGCTAATTCACAGAGAGGCAAGTAACCTCCACCTCCTCTCGCCCTCTCACTCTTCGCTCCCCTGACACACCACACAGACACACACACACACACACTCGCTCGCATGCACACATGCATGCAGCGGGATGAAGACGTTCCTTACCGCGGAATTTCCAGGCAAAATCCTGTCGATCGACCCCCGGCATGGTGACACCATCTCTCGCATGATTGTCCTGTTGCTGATGCTGCTGCTGCTGCTGCTGAGCCTCCAGCTTCGACTCCACCATGCCTCGAGCTGCGATGAACAACCCCCCGACTAACGCACAATTCCCCCCTTGGAGAAAGACCCCCCCGATCCCGATCCCGATCCCGATCCCGCTCTCCTCTCGCGCTCGCGCCCTCTCGATTGCCACCCCTCCGACTCAGTGCGCTGGCCGCCCAACCACGCGTGTCACTGGCAAATCATCAGTGCGCCGCACTATATCAGCTACACCCGGGACTCGGGGACGCCGAGATGACTCAGCAGGGTAGCTCTCTGGTTCACTGACTCGATGTCTGTCTGATGACTTCAGCCCGGTGGCTGACCTTGTATTGACACCGGCAATGTCAGCGCGCAGATCAAGAGCAAAAGATAGGATTAGTCGACGGCGGAGATCTTCCTTCAGGTGGCGAAAATGGAGTTTAGACGCGAAGATGGAGTTGACGAAAGCGAGACGACGAAGTGAGGGCAAGGGACAAGCGTAGCCAATGGAAAATATAGGGTAGGGTAGGCGCCGCGAATAACCAGGCAAGACAATGCGACAAACACACCAGGCGCGAAGTCGAAAAACGGCGGGCTGTAGAAACGCAACAGAGAAAGAAACGCGGAGAGGAAGAGACGGGCAACAGCGGAGAGAGGGAGAGAGGGAACGGGAGGTGGTGAGAGCAAAGCAAGAAGTGTAGGAGAGAGAGGACGCGGGAGGGGGGAAAGAGGAGGAGGAGACCGAGGGTGACACGCGCTGGGAGCCAGCAAGAAGCGCAAAGGAGATGAGGAACAGCTGATCAGTAGAAAGGACACGTGTTGGATTGCGATGGTGCGAAAAAGGAAATGATAGCGAGCGAGTACCACATGGGAAAAGGAAGAGGTAATGGGGCGCGGCAACCTCGGGGAAACCCGAATTGCCACGGCGGACTCCGGCGAAGGTCGATACTGAGTCGGGAGCACAGGGAGAGGGACAGCCAACTCGACAGGACCCTCTTTCCGATTTCCACTTCTCTCTCACGCTGTGCAAAGAGTGTGTGGAGAGTAGAGTTACAGGACAATCGAGAAAACCCTCGGGGATGCTTGCAGGGGATGAAGGAGCCCTAACCGTACGTCCGCGCAGTTGAGCATAAGGGGAGCAGAGAGGTAGGCGGCAACCCCACAACGAGTGCCTCGGGCACTTTCAGATGGTGTTCACTTGGACAGGCCCGGTGAAAACTTGGCCTGGCTATTGGAGGGTCGATCGGGGGGGATAAATCTCATCCTTGGCGACCTTCAGGGAGAGCTCAGGCGACCCGTGGCGCGCGATCACCCCTCCGACCTCTTCCGAGTCGACCTTTCCACACCAGTTTCTGAATACATATATCTGGGCCCAGAACCTCAGTGCCCGGATGGATTCGAGCGGCCGACCTCGGCCTCAAGAGCCAAGTCTCACTGCAGCCAGGACACCGTGTTCGGGAAGTGGAACCATACGGCTCATGATATAGACCCCACCCCTGCAAGGATGTAGTATCCAATTCTCTACAGCGCCCACACGGGGAAGGCAGCCCTAAGGGTAGATGTAAGGTTTTGAAAGTTGAATAGAGAGGGGAGAGAGAGAGAGAGAGGGTGGGGGGCGGGGATGATATGTTCCCTTTCGGCGCAGCCTTTGCGCTGCAAACAGACAAGTTGTGAATTGTAAGCCTGGCCCAATGAGCCAACACAACATGGCTACCTTCTTCCCCCGAATACAACGTATGGTGATTATAGCTGTATTTGGGGTATCTTTCAGTCCAAATACAGCTATAATCACCGTACGTTGTATTGGGGGGAAGAAGGTAAGCGTGCACGCTCAAAAGAGACAGACTGACAGACAGACAAAGAGGGAGAGAGGGGGAGGGAGGGGAAAGGGGGGAGGGTTGCTACGAAAGAGAGAGAGAGAGAGAGAGAGAGAGAGAGAGAGGGGAAAAAAAAAAAAAAAAACGTTGAATGGCAAAAATAAAATATGGGTCAAATTGCAATCGTGATCTATTTTACGGTTAATCTTTATTTATTTATTTATTTAAAAGATCACAACAAAATTTTCAAAATTTTTAACGCATTTTTATGAGCGAGAAAAATCACTGAAGTTTAAGGTTTTTTTTTTGTTGGCCCTACATATGGCTGAGTGGCAAAAATGAGAGCGTCGAATCGACGCGGCGATTATTTTGCGTTCTTAATGATTTTTTAATTTTTTTTTACATTTTTTTTTTATAAAGCAGGGTTACCTAACCGAACATTCAGCGGCCCCCAGGGGCACGGTCCCACTAGCAGCCGGATTAGCCTTAGCTGTATCGGAGGCACATGAATTTTTCGTATTAAAGTGACTTCAATAAATAGTTAGAAATAAAAGAAAAAAAATCAGGTTCCGTTTCTGGGTCTGAGAGGTTTCTTGAAATGTATCGGGCTGTATTACGTGCCCGGTATACTACAGTGTTGCGCCAGCCTCTGATGCTGAACTTATCGGCGTGGAAGAACGTCGCTTCTCATTCTCACAGGGTAACCGCCAGGTCATATTATTTTCCAATTTCCTTACTTTTTTATTCACTTTTGTGAGTTGTTTTTCAGGGAAAGATGACCGTCCTCTACGTGAAAATAGTGTGCTCTAGAGAGAAGATGCCCATCGCATGCATTTTCTTTTTTGTTTGCAATGCATGGTCAATGGAAGGGCGGTCCATTTTCATTTGGAAGACATGGAAAAAGTGAAACAAACCAAATAGTTGAAGAAAAAAACAGCGCCCTAAGATCTACGTCGAATGGGTGACCCTTACCGATCGGACTACAATGTTTTACAGAAAATACATTTGCCCCCGGATATAGCTAGATATAGCTAAGGCTAATCCGGGTGCTAGTGGGACCATACCCCGGGCTGGTCCCCGAACGTTCAGGCGTTCAGAGTCCCGTTCGGGGGCCGAACACCTCCAAGGTCGGGCCCCCCAAAAAACTTTGCAGGGCTTAAAAATACGTTTTTCCCCAAAAAAAAAATTTATACTTTTCTATGATGTAACCTATACGCCTGTAAATTTTGAAGCCATTTTGCTAAGCCAAAAAAAACATTAAAAATCGTCAACGATGGGGGTGTCAAAACGTGCTCGCCCACTCACTATTTTATTTTTTTTCACTTTTAACTTTTTGCTTTCCCTTTATTTCGGGGTCTAAAAAAAATTATTATTTTTGAAAAAACATTAATGAGTTATTGATTATGTAAACTACATCTCTGTAAATTTTCAGGGCATTTGTCAATGCCAAAAAATAATTAAAAGACGGCAAAGATGGCGATGTCGAAAAGGTGTTGGCACACTCACTCATTTTCATTCTCTTTTTATTTATTTTTATTTTTATCATAGTGTTTATTTTATGTATTTGATTTTTAATTCAAATTTGGTAAATAATTTGGATGTAGTGCAAAGGCAAATATTGTTAAGTTTATTTTTCTCCATAATATTTATTTTTTCGAAAGGTTTTTTTTTTTTTTTTTTTTTTTTTTTTTTTTTGGTCTGCGTTCGGCCCGAACAGTCGAACGCCTTCCGAAGGGGTCCCGTACGTTCGGGCGTTCGGCCCGTCCCGAACACCGGTAATCCTGCTAGAAAGACAAGAATTTAATATACAAATTCTCAAATTTTTATTTTTTTTTGCGAAACATAAAAAATCGTTAAAATTATCTCTTCCGAATTGCGAGACTGTCGGTGTCGCTTTTATGGATCACATTGAAGGAAGGATCAATCCTCCGATTTTGCTACAATGTACCGGTTCTATAAAAATTAATTGTCGATCCTCCGTAAAATCGACAACAAACGGTACCTCGACAATTTTTACCTTAAAAAAACATGGTTGTTCATTTGTCGTCTAACGCCGAAAATGTGACAGTTTGACACGAACGTCGAAGCCTACTATACCCTCGGGGATGTCTGTGGGATACCACCAACCGCGTTTGGCAAAGACCGAATTTTTTTCACATGGTGGTGAGGTTCTACCCTCAGTTCAAAAAATCCTCCAGTATACTTATCCAAAGACCACGAACGTACACACGTAGACTTAAACCACCACTACCCTCCGCCGATCTAAATTAATTTTTCTTGGCCTTACGAACCAGGTTCTTAGGGCGGGAGGCGACTGACCTGCGCAGGCGGGTCCGGTTCAAAAATGTTCAAGTGCGAATTTTTACGATTTTTCACGCTCATAAGAATTAGCAAAAAAATCTATAAATTTAATATCTTGTAGATCAGGTTGTGATCTTTCCAGGAAAAATATTAACAAAATGAGAAAAAAAAAAAAAATCGTGAAATAAATGTCGTGCCATTTCGTTGCATTTTTTATTCTTGCCACTCTACCACGTCTGGGTCAACGGGAAAAGTACCCCAACTTTTGTGATTTTTTTGCACTTAGAAGGATGACTCAACAACTCTGAAAATTCGAGGGTCCGTAGATTTTCTCGTAATCTTTATAACAATAAAATAAATAAAATTATTTTAACAACAAAATAAATTGCGGGCTAGGCTACCAGAGTGGCCCGGATCCAGTTGCCTGGCCGGACAAAAAATAAATAAATAAATAAAAAATATTTTGTAAATTAAATTTTTATTTTAAATTTAGTAAAACATTTCGATGTGACTCTGAGGCAAAAGTTGTTCAACTTATTTTTCTGCATAACATAGTTTTTGTTTTGATTTTTTTTTTTTCTTTACTGGGACTTTCCTTGGTCCTTGCACGGTTGGGCTGCCCGGGAAAATAGGGTGACCCGGGCAGCCCGACTCATAGCCTAGATTATGGGGGAAATTGAACGCATTGTTTAATTTTACCGCTCCGCCAGTTCCCCCCACTTTGCTACCGGTAGTCCTCATGGACTTGTGCTACTGGTAGTCCTCATGGACCTGTGTTACCGGTCCCCCCTAATTGATGACGGCGTGGGTAGTGGTGGTTTAATGGGGCAAGTTGTAATGACGCATTTTTTTACAGTTATCAAATATATAAATCTCATGTCTGAAAAAGCACTGCCCATTGCAAAATCCCCCAACCAGAGTCGAACCCAACTTTTTTTTTTTTTTTTTTAGTAGCATTGTATACGGCGTGGGTGCAGGAAACGCAACCCTAAGGGTAGGCATAAGGTTTTGAAAGTTTAATAGAAACGAGAGAGTGAAAATGAGAGAGAAGACGGTGAGAGATTAATTGTTCTCTTTCGGTGGAACCTTTGTGTTGAGAACACAGATGTTCACACCCATTACACATTGACCTTAGGGTTGTAAATTGTGAATCTATCCCAATAAGTCAAAGCAGAAGAGGTTAAGCGCACAAACACAAAAGTGAGAAAATAGAAAGAGGGAGCAAGAGGGCAGAGGGGGGAACTGTTAATGTGTGTGAGAAAGGGAGAGAGGTTAAATGAAAAAAATGGAATATGGGTTAAATTATGGTGGCGATTTATTTTACGGCTAAAATATATATATATATTTAATATATTAAATTTTGTTTTGAAAATATCACAACGAACACTTTAATTTTAATATTTTTTCACACGTTATTTTAAGCGACAAAAGATCACTTATGATAATGAACCCTTAAAATTTTTCAAATTGGATAACAAAACTTGTAAAAGGAAACATTAAAGAATTTGTGAATTTTAAACCATAATTTGTGCTTCACGTCGATGAAGATGGAATCCATGTTTGTGAATTTGTATTTTTGAAACCCGAAATGTCAATTCAAGTGATGAGCAAATCTGTCAAGTTTACGTTGAAGTCATAACTTAGTGATTTTTGAATTTATATTCGTTCATGAATTCAACGTTCGTTACTGAAGTCGCACTTCGGGATTCTTTTACCGAAATCGAACGTTTATTCGAGATTTCATTACCGAAATCGCATGTTAGGATTTTGAGAATCGCACT